GACTTGCCGAGAAACGTTTCACCGCCTGCGCAACAACGTTGCGGGCAAACATTTCTGTTTGTTTCTTTTTTTTTTTATTACAATGTATCCCGTACCTCTTTGAGCTGGTCCAGCTCCTGCCGGACGGTCTCGTACTCGGCTTCCAGGTCGTCATACTGCTGCTTCAGCTGCTGCTTCTCCTCCAGCACCGCCAGCCCGTACTCGGCAGCCTGGATCTTCTCCCGGGTCGTCTCGCTCAGCTCCCGGGACAGCCGCTCCACCTCCGCCCGGAGCCACTGCGGTCCGGCGTCCGGCACCACCACCGACCCGGGATACTCGTCCACGGACATCTTGATCTCGGCTGGCCGGCGGCACACGCAAGCGGGGTGGGGATCTAAAAGCAGTGAGCAGAGAAGCTTGAACCGGATCCCTCGCCTCTGGAAGGACCGCAAACGCCTCTTCTGATTTAAAAAAAAAGGGGGTTTTAAAGTCTTCTGCGTTTGAACTGCATGTTTGCTCTCCTTCCCTAGCAGTTGCTGTATTTCAGCCCTTCCGCTTTTTTTGTTTCATACGCGAAAACCAGCCCCTTTTTTTTTTTCTTCCCCCCAGACCGTTATACTGGTCTCTTTTAAATCTAGTTCATGGTTGCGGCTTCTGGTGCCCTGAGCTTCTCCTCCTGCTCAGTTAATACTGATGGGGAGGGGGGGCTGCGGACTGTCGTGAAGTCATCCCCTGGGATGCGCTCCAAGGGAGCGTTGGCGCATACCGGGAGATGCAGTGCTCTTGTCGGCTGTAACTACAGCGCGACGGGTCAAAAGAACTCCAACTCCCATGATCCATTGCTAGTTTGTACATGTGGACAGCTCACTCGCTGCCAGAAGCTGTAACGCTCGCTTTGACTACTATATGGAATATGTGGAGGGCGGCAGAAGCCCGAAGAGTGAGCGGTAGCGCCACCTTCAGGTTAAAAAAAAAAACGGATATTTTATACCGCTGTCTGCATTTACAGGCAGGCCCGGTCAGAGATGAGCTACGGTGCGTGGAAAACTGCATTTGGGAATTGGTATTTAGAGTCCTTCGGTAGTATTAAGTCGTTAAACCTGATTGCATTCGAGCGTGTGTTCAATGACAAGGAAACGATTTTATTATCGGTTACAGTTTTGTAAATGAACATAACGAATACCGATTTGTCTTATTGAGCTCTTCATTATGAATATATCAAATGTATTGTATTTAACCTATACCTTGCATATTACGAAAGCAGACCAAAAGTAGATTATGTCAACGAGGGTAAATCAGTACTTCGTAATGTATCTGACGAAGGTTTGCGTTCGAGATCTTGTACACGTTTGACTTCGAAACCACAGAGTTTAAAGAATTATCTTTCACGTTTCCACTACTACAAGGATTTAAATTATGCACTGCCAGCAGAACGTCATTAACTGTGATGTGGTGTAGTATTATCATAATAATTCATTGCATTGTATGTCGTGTTTTCATCCCAAAGGATCCCAAAGCACTTTACACATAAGAGGGGACTCACTTTGGCACCTGGATGCCATTATCTGCCACTATACCGCAGTTCAGTTGAAGAAGTGAGAAGTTACTTGTAAAATCCCTGAGCGCGATTTAATTTGAATCCCAGGGTGAACAACACCCGTACTCTTACAAACAGCGCCCAGTGATCCTTAATGACCACGTATCTAAGACTACCGTCTTACATCTCAGCAGCAGGATGACACTTGTTACTGCAGTTCTGACACGTGGGAATTGATGGTACAATCCCTTAGAGATGGGGAGCGCACCACTGTTTCTTGGCTTAATCGTGAGTCTTGAGGCGGGGGCTGGGGGCGACATGTCTTTGGGGTTTCAGTGGGCACCTTCCATCATCGGTGCATTGTCTATGAGCCCACAACATCTCCAGAAGTCTCCACAGTGGTTCTGGCGTCCCAGACCCACCCCCAACCCCCTCTCTATGCCTGCCCAGCCTTTTTTTTTACTGTTTACTTGGGGGGCCAGCAGGGGTCACTGGTCTTCAGGCAGAGACAAGTTCCTGGTCACCATACTGTGGGCTCTCATTTGGAAATTCTGGTCTAGAGAGGAAAGAGCACCACCTAGTGGTCCATCAACATTTTATTCTGCTAGATTCCCATTCTTGCAACTCCAGGATGTTGTACAATGTCATTTGGCTGAACAACTTACATAGTGACTCTAAGCAAGTTACCTCTCTCAGTTTGCTCCATTAAATGCCCTCAGAGGAAAATTGGTACATTCCAATTTGAGTCCCATCATTGTAAATTATTTGGTTAAATAAATTGGGATCTGACCTTGCTCGTCACTAGCAGGATAAGAAACTACAAATTTGGATACCGCTCTTCAGAAAATATAGCATCAGGCCGAGTGAAAGCGAAAAAGGAGAATATTCTTTTTCTTTTGTAATTTGGTGAGAACACAAACCTTAGACTGATACAGTACATCGACTTTGAAAACTGAAGGTCTTTTGTTATGTTTAAAAAGCAAAAGGAAATATTCTGCCAGTGCTGGGTAAAAGTCTGATTCAAACAAGTCGATGATTACATTTCCTTAACCAAAATTAAATAGATCCACCCACTGTAGAAGAAGCAAGAATACTCTGATTAAATCTAAACACTCGACTGCAAGACACTGCCTTCCTATAACAGAAACATGTTTTCTGATCATGGTTTCTGATCTCTCATCATTCTGATATAACTACTGTTATGGCTATGAAAGATATAGCAGCCTCGTATTGTACATTCATATACATGGCATATATCATGAGATATCCTGTACAGTAATTGTTTCCCTTTTCCCACAGTAGTCACAGATGTATTTGCTTTTTGTAAGTTGATGTCTGTGTTTGCTGAAGATTGCCATTCTTGTATTTCTGACAGCTGCGTTTTCTGAGTCTCGCTTTGCAGTCTGTCAGCTTTGCTTCATTATTCGGGTTCTTCCCAGTCAGATGTCATGACATGCCAAAATTTGCTACTACAGAAATATCCAAGACATGCAGCTGTGGTTCTCCAGAAGTCTGTATTCTGAGCAGCAGCTGCAGTCCTTTCTTTGCCAAAATACCTAGCTGTTCATCAGATATTTCAACCAGAGCCACCCCCACACATCGCCACCCTCACATGATTGTATGACGATATTGTGAAAACCATTTAGAAACACATATCTTATGAAGTAAATATTTAGAATCATACACATACTGTATTATTATGTAAAATGATTAGTAAAATGAGAAAGACACACGTAAATGTTTTCAACGATCGAATGGGTAAGACTATGGGGGATATTTGCAACGCAATCAATGAAAAAACTGCTGAAAAGTGTAGGTCTGATAATTAGCATAAATCAAGAATATGCAAATTATAAATCAAGGACAAACTGCGCTGTAGCTGTATTGTAATTATGCATTCTTTTAACCCTCCCTGCTTCCCAATTAAGTTCATAAACCCCAGCTTGAGGGCTCACAGCAATTTACATTTTAAGATTTATCTAAACAAACATCATGAATGTATAACAGACTAAACATATCCAAGCAGGGCTGATATGGAGTGGTACATAGCGTGTGATCTGGAAGGCATTGTGTGGGACCAAGAGAAAAGATGTACATGGATGGGTAAAATTGATAATGCAGAGTGGAAAATTGTAACATACTCTGCATAAGATTCTACAGATGGTGCCCAGAGCTCTTTGCCTCAGTGAGAGAGTTCAGCCAATTCACGTTTTAATTATTTTTCTCCCATTTTAATTATTTTCTCCCATGTGTGGGTGTTGGCAGACAGCAGCTTTCTGAATGACTGCTCAATATTTAAAGTATAGATTTTGGAAGTGCTCATCAGCTGTTTCAGGTGGATATAATACATATAAATTGTAAATAAGTAGATATGGTATTGTGAAACGCCGAGAGCAGTATATGCTGACAGAAAATCAAGTCTGCTGCCATCTGCCAGAGGAAAAATGTCCTGACAGAGGACATGCTGTACACTGGGCAGCATATGGCATGCAAACAGTCACAACCACACCTCAGTGTGAGTGAAGCTTCTATAGATCAGTGCCTTTACCTGCTTAAGTGGCAGGTAAGAAAAGCATACTACAGCATTTTAATGACTGCCTAACTTGCATTTTTACATTTTTTCCTCAACTAAATGCCGCACTTAGTAAGCAGTGTTTGTAGTTCTATATGTGTTTGCAAGACGTGCATCCCATACAGTAAACAAAACATAAATAAAATGTAAAGTAAGGGAACGGTTTACATGGGTGTAATGTAAGTGTAATTGTATTCCTCAAACATATAATATACTTTTACAATTCATCAAAGTTAACTGTCCGATGTCCGATGGGTTGTGGCAGGTTTCATGGAGCTGTAGGTAACTTGAAAACAGGTAAGGGACTGCTGAAAAACTAAAGCAATTTGTTTCTTTGAAACAGGAAACATGCACACACCCATCATCACTTGAGGAAAGCAGCAGTGTGGAGTACTGGTTGGTGCTCCAGACCAGAGGACTGTGGGTTCAGTTGCTGCTTTCAAGGCCCTGCTGTATATACAGGTCTCCAGGTCATCACTGAAAATGAGTGTTTGTTCTCAACTAACTTAGTTCTAGGTTTAAAAAAATTTAGATAGATTTAAAAAAAGAAAATAATTTTAAACCTTTCTTTATGTAATAAAATACATGAAACACTTCATAACTCATAGATTCTGTCACAAAGCATGAGTTGGTATAGTATGTCCTGCCTTTCACCTAGAGGCTGTGTGATAATGGATTCTCTGGACCTGTTTTCTGTTCCTGGTTTAACGTAATGTATTTTGCTGTGAATTAAACATCATGATACATACAGTGCATACAGTGATTAAAACCTCGTTTATCACTGTATGCACCAATTACTACACACATAGCGTATGAGTTATGAACAACAAAGTACAGTATATGTATTATTGCTTGTTTGTTGTGGGGGTTCCAACCACATTAAAATAAAACACAAACCACAGTTTAGCCCAAGCCTTCATGATGTTTGGTGTCCCAAATGTCCCAGTTGTTCATTTGGGTAAATGTCAAAGATTGACATTGTTCTTATTTAATTAACAATGCACTAAATCCTTAATACGTTGTCAAGTCAAGTCAATAGCTTTAGCAGTTTGACCCTTTCCCTGACAAAAAAATAAAGACTGGGACTATGTAGGGAAAAGCAAACTCATCCATCAGTGAAAGACATCTACTGATGAAGATCTCTTCTATGCACTGTAGTTCTTCCTGGCATACTGCATGTAATGCCAGAGAATCTGAAATAAATGAAGAAAATGTGAAAGGCCTACAGAATGTGGTGTGAAAACTGTTTTATGTACCTAGGTGTTGGGTATTTAAGATTTTAACTTTCCTTCTTTTAGCAACAGCTTAAGTAATTTATCTCAGTTATTAATAAAGTCCGGCTTGAAAACGAATTACAACCATTTGAAATCAGATTGTGCAAATTTTTAAGCTCTCATGTCTGCAAACCAGGCTCTTCTGAACGAAACAGGAAGACAGCGGCTGTGAGGCTGACAGCACTGGGCTTATGAGTCCTCAGTGGGATTTGCTCACATCCCTTGATATGGCTGGAGTATACAGTGTGGACCATGAAGAAGCTGTTACATCCAGGGACAGCATTCTGTGCTCCAACACGCTTCTCCATCATTTGGTCTAACCTTGGGGTAGTGTGCCTGGTAATGGATAATGTCAGCCCCCCCATGAGAATGTGGCTGTCAGAACCTCTTGTCCAAATGTGGGGTGATCCTTCTGCAAGGGCAAAGACAGGGTGGAGAGAGCGAAGCAAAAATGAATATTGGGAGCAAGTCAGCAGTGAATGTAGGTAGGTGAAGGTGGGAGAGATTAGGGTTTGACCTTCTCTCGGACTTTCGTTTTAAACTCCGTAACTACTGACGCCCTGAAGAATTTGGTGGGTCTGCGCCAGTTTTAATGAGGCGTTTGCAATTTCCCTGATTCACTGCGGGTTGCCATTCCTTAATTGCCAAGAATATAATTCTCTGTGATTGAAGGTTTTGTTTTTCATGCAGCGCATTAAAAATTAAAAATGCCACTTCTGTAACAGCTAACGCCCGATAAAACTCCTTGTCGTGCAGATGCCTGCTCTGAACGAGCAGCAGACAGTTTTAATCATTTTTGTAACAAAGTAATTCCTTTTTCTTCTTCTGCTTCTCCTTCTGACCCTCTTTTGGATCAGCAGGCTGACCCAAATGGCACTGCACACAGATTCTGAACAGAATAGCATTCAGTTTTGTACTTTTTATTTAAACCCTGTATGTCTTTGCCTGTTTACAATGGTGTCTTTTGAGAAGAAAGTCATAAGGCAAGTTACCCCAGTTCATACTGTTTGTAGTCTGTTGTAAACTGTATTTTACATAGAGGATTTAAGACTTCAGAAGACAGTTTAGCTGTAGGGAGCAAATAACCTTTCAAACCTTTCCCTTCACTGATATAGAGAGACTTCTTCATTTACTGGATTCCCATTTCTATAGACGGTTTCAGAACATTTAGCTCATTTTTTGAAAAATAAACAATGCAAAGGAAAAGTGTGTTTAATATTCCTCCCACGTTACATGGAAAAGCAAAGAATATTACTGTGTTCTGTCAAATGTAGGATAAACAAAAAAAAACACCTCTATTATTAAGATGAATTAGATGAATTAATTTTGATTTAGTCTTATCTCATTTCCTAACTTTCGTGGTGGATATTTGTTTCTATGTGTGAGAAATTCCAGTCAGTGTTTTTATTCTCAAATCTAATACAACAGACATTGTAGTTGTCCTCTACAATGTTATTAAATATCTACACCCAGCTTAGACAAACAATAACATTCTGTCAAAACATTTCAGCACTGTTTCAGAACATCTGTAATAATTAATAGGACAGAATAAATGGCAGGGGAAAAAGATACAACTACTAAAAAAGTGAAAATCAAGTTGTAAATGAACATATTTCCGATATGTATCCAGAAACAATTGTTTAATTTTGCTAAAAAACCTATTATTATTATTATTATTATTATTATTCACAAAAGGCCATTAGTTGACTATTTAAATATGTTACATAGAAGCAATACAATGCCTCTATTCAGATACAATGTTAATTACATACAAGCAATCTTTATTCCCAATAGATTTACATAACGTACACAAATAAACTGGTTATATTCTTATATGTAGTTAACACAGGGAAAATAGATGTATGTTAGTAGATTGTCAAAAAAGTCACTAATAAAACTAAATATATTACTACATTATTGAAAAAACAGCACTGATGTCCTGCGAAAACCATTTTTGTTTGAAAATTTGAATCCAATTTGCTTTATTGGCTATTACTAAAATCTAATTTGATTTTAAATTTGATTTAGATACTAAAATCAAAACATATTTTTATTTCGTTTTGAAATAAAAGCCACAAAACTTTAACTCCACCTTCACGATCATAAAACACACTGTCGGGAAGGTTAGAGAAGACAGGTATTGCTCCTGGTAAAATAAGAATTTCAATATAGTAGTAATTTGCACTCCACCTACTTCATCACAAAATAGACCTAGAGATAGTTACTATGTTAGCAGGCTCAACGTCTGGTTGCTGTGGAAACCTCCTCCAGACAGAAAGTCTAATGTCTTA